TTCAAGCCTTGGAAGGAGGAACATTTTATCCTGCTCTCTCCCTTCCTAATTCCATAGTTAAGGTTTTGCTTCCACTTTACCTTCCCACACTGCTGAATTACCTTAGACCTAAGGAATGTGGATTTTTGATTATATTTCACCCATTTTTATGCAAGATAAGAGTTAGATGTCTATGGTTGAAGCAGGGGGCATCAGAACGCTTTAACAGACTTCATCTGATAGAACAGAGTCTTCCTTGACTGGAGACAAATGAAGAAATTAAACAAAGTTATTGGACTGTACTGATGCCTTAAGACAGCAACAGCTTCAGAGCACCTTAGGCAATGCAACCACATGGAACTGTCTTAGATTTATCATTTGGATCTGACTAGACCGCTAAAAGGGCATGATATTTTTCCTGGAGAGAAATATCAGCTGACATGATTCCACCTTTCCTGACTCTGGTTTGAAGTGCAAATCAGTTAGCTAAAGCCATGATGACACCTCCCATTATCTCTTCAGCTGCAAATCCACTACACTTCATTGTACTTCTTATATAATTGATAAATGATGTAAAAAGAAATAAAATGAAAACCAGACCGCAAATTGTAAGCAGATCCTTTCGATCACTATGACAACACGAGGGAGACAGGTTTTCACGGCCAAACTGGCATAAATACCAGATCTTGGAACCGTGTTTTGGCTGTGTGACCTGCAGGAGCTCTCACTGCATCACAGACTCTATGTATGGACATGAGAAATTACTGAACCAGCAGCTTCATGTTTACTGTCAGAGCTTGGGAAAAATAATCTGTGAAGCTCTTAGACTCAGACCACTTTATTAATCCCAGCAGGGGCCATTCATTTCAGCAGTACCGGATACAAAATAAATAAACATGTAATGACATAAAATATAAGATAATTATAAAGAAAAATCTGACAGGGAGCTTGAGGACCAAAATTAATAATGATAAATACACAGAAAGTTACTAACATATATAACACAATTATCTTAATATCTTATTTAATCAGATATTATTCAGACTGCCATGTATTGTTTATGAACCCACGCCCTACTGGCTGTGTGTGAAAACAACAAATGAAAGTCTGATTCGAGCTCAAATCACTCAAAACATGGTTAAACAGATCATTCTGAACATACATGGAATAAATTCAGCACAACTTCCACTCAGAATATGAGTTTATTAACAAAAAGTAGTCAGCTCCAAGTCAAACATTTAAAAATTCTTAAATAAAAACTAGTAAAACTCAACTAAAATAAACTAATATGTACCAAGAAGAAGGGAAAACATGGTTGAAAATCATGTTTTCACTTTAATATAGATTTTGTGTTTGGGAACCAGATTTTATCTTGAAGAATTTGGGATATGATCAAATTAGCTTTTCACTCATTTGGAGTGATTGGAATGTTTTCAAACCAGTTTACAATGGAAATCCATGAGGTGAATAAAACATTATTTGGCCAAATAATTACTTAATCTTTTGCTGAATCAAGAACCAATAACCTTTAGTTAAATTATTCTTTACCTTTTTTGAAAGAGCTAGCAGCGAATAGACATGAGGATTCCAATAAAGGACACTTAAAGGAAATGTAATGAGCATATGAGAAAACACATGAACTCTAATGTTATATCAGTGTTTAAACCCTTAGTGAAATAAAGCTTGCTTTAGCTTATAAAGAAAAACAACACAAAATCAGTGAAGACATGAAATAATCAAAATCATCAGATTGTTTATCTAGAATCTGTCTCTAACTGGGACGTTTTGGAAAGTTTGAGTTTCCTCCAGCAGTTGCAGCTTAGCATGGCAGGCTCACAGCAAGCGGGGTTTCCTTTTTCCCACGTGGCTCACACCAAGGTTAAGGCTTCCTTAGGAGGCTTTCGCCTCCAGTCCAGCTCTGTATGTTCTGAAACTCAGAGAAAAAAGTGGCAAACGGTCCGTTTTGCAGCAAGTTGGTTCTGAAATTTCAGCCATCATGATTTAGCCTTGGTCAGTCTGGGGATCTGGGCCCTGGGCCATGATGTCGTGTCTTCCCATGGGAACCCCTGGGAAGAACAGAAAGAGGAAGAGAAATCCAGTGTGCTGACATGTTTTACTGTTCTCAAACTATTAATTCATGTGTCACATTGATTAGATAGGTTTGACTTCAGGGTTCAGCTTTAGGTCTCAAAGATTAACAAACAGCAATTCAGCCGAGGCTGTATTTAAAATCAAACCTTTAAGTTAGATTCATTGATTAATTAATCAAATCAATGAGTTGTAAATGTTTCAAAGTTTTAGATTTAAGAATATTAGAGTAACACTCAAAGTTAGAACAGGGCTGCCACTGAATGGTTAAAGTACTGTAAGTACCTGTTGCTGCAAGCTTTGGTATATTTGTTGTTCACAAGGTTGCCAGTAAAAAAAGAGAGAATTGAACATTATTTTCAATTAGTATTTATTCAGAATTTTTAACTATAGAAGCTTTTCAGCTTCACTGACTCAGAATCGGCATAATTTGGATAATAAACAAGCAGCAGTGCAAAATAACACAGTTTCTGGGTAATTCAGACCCTTCCTCTCCCATTAGAGGCTCCTTTTTTCCCAGTTTAATGTAATGCCTTGTCATAAAAAGGAACGATAACTGTACCTGCAGGCTATGGCTGATTGACCTAAAAAGGAAAGCAGCAGAGTCCTGACCACACTGTGTTCTGGCTCATTTTCTTTGTATCATTACGATTGATACAGACTAAAAAAAAGAAATGGTCTGATTTATGGTCTGAACATCTCCAACTCGGATCTAGTTATTAATCATAAAAACATTTTTAATTACACTTAATAAAACCAAATATCAACCTTGTTTTACTTTTTAAATAAACTATATAAAACATTCATTTTCTATCCCTGGAAAAAGTCTAGACAAACAAATGTCTAACAGCTAGTCTTACCCTTTTAAAATTATTTCAATAAGACAATTCATGTCAACATTTACCATATTAGGCTTAAAAATGTTTTATTTTATCCCATCTTTTTTGAGATGTCTGAGTTTCTTGAGTGTGCATCCTATTTCAGTTTACCTCAATGTATTGGTATTCTCAAAGTATCCTTGGTATAACAGTACCTGCTAGTACAGTATGTCCTATTTCAGCTTTGCTTCACTGGCTTCCTGTTAAATCAA